CGCAGTTGTTGGATGGGATCAGCGTTCAGCCTGCATACTCTCCACATCTTGCTCTTTCTGACTACCACCTATTCCGGTCCATGCAAGTCAGTTTGGCAGATATACGCTTCCGGAATGCCGAAGAAGTAAAAAAATGGGTGGAGAACAGGATTACCTCAAAAGATGAAGACTTTTTCTAGACCCGGAGTCAATAAGATACCAGAAAGATGACAAGAAGTTGTAGCTAGCGATGGGCAATACACTGGTTAATGTACATTTGGTTTTAATTTTGTAATAAAAAACACGCACGCAAAAAACGACGGAAATTAATGCACACCCCCAATAAAACAAGATTGATTAACCAAAGAAATAAATAAAAACTTCAAAGACATGAGACGCCGTGGGTTAGGAAGTGGGGATGACTGATTACGAGTAATGTATTCGAAGGTGAAATATCAATATTTCAGATTGATGGTCGTGGCTCAACAGGGCGTGGGTGGAGATACAGAAGTGCTATCTACGGTGTTCTCGGTTCGGTTGAAGTTCAGGATCAGATTGAAGCTTTGAAGTAGGGTTTTGTGTTCTACTCTTCTGCCACTTTGTGCGAGAAAAGTACGTGTTGGTAAGCTAAAGCGCATGAAAAGCGCTAGAAATAAGCTGCGTTTGAAAATTCGCCAATTCCCAGTGTTACAGCGAATTTTTCGGCTATCTGCTGCCCTTACTTTATGAAGATCTGAGTTCAGAGCAGTCCTGAAGAAACATCCAACTCTTGATGCGTTGCGAGTCTCAGTTTTCGGCTGGTCCTACGGTGGTTTTGTAGCTGTCAAAATGCCGGAGGTAGCACCAGAAGGCTTTTTCAAATGTGCCGTCGCAGTGGCACCGGTGGCCAATTTTTTGTACTATGGTGAGTTTAGATCATTATTTGAGATGTGACCCCTAAATTATCAAATACAGTTGGAAAAAAAGGAGGAACTGAGTGTAATTTTTCTATGGTTTGTCAATGTGAATTGTACTTTTCAGGCGAATCCTTGGTCGATGAATGAATGCATCAGTAAAGAAAGAAATCTGTACCGTACTACGGATCCTGGTCAATGATCGCATCAGTCTTTGACCAGGATCGATTTAGATTTCTTCTTTTACTTCCTTACGAGCGGAAAGCCGTTCATACCTTACAGTGAATATTTGTTCGCTATAAAGCTCTGGTGTTCAAACAGGTGGTCGAACGATCTACGATGATTTTTGTATTGATGACCAATAATACGCTCTCCTCTATGTTGCTTCAAAAAAGAAATCAGTGATTTTGAAGCAGCTGACCAATCCGCCAAATATTTTGGTCATCAATTATCGATGCAACGTCCTTTCTTTGCGCTGCTTCCCGTTCAGTATTATGTTTCGATAAGTTGAACTTTCCAGTGGCAACAGAAATTAGACGCCTTCATAATTTGGTATTGACCTCTCCGTTTTTGTCTTTTGTAGTCGTCGATTCATAACCACTGAATTCTTCGAAAAAGAGAAACTTGTTTATTTTGGATGCCACATATACGGAGCGATATATGGGAGAAGCTAGAATGCCAGCTTACGAATCCGGCGACATCACCTTTGACGTTTCTCATTTCCGAAAAACTCGCCTCTTACTCGCTCATGGATTGCACGACGGTAAGTACTTTGCTACCGACAGAAGGATGTCATTTCATTGCTGATATATTGTTTTTCGTTACAGATAATGTCCACTTCCAAAACAGCGCTCTGCTTATGGAAGCTTTACAGATTCAAGATATTGATTTTGATTTGATGGTTGGTTATTACACCTCAACAACTGGCCTTTGAAATCATGAAGCAACCTTCTGTAGGAACGTAGAAACATAGCAATAGCCAGTTTCATAGCTCCCAAATTCTTTGCTTCTCAGAACTATCCATAGAGAGAAGTTGCAATTACCATTAGATCGAATTTCGCAGGTATTCTTTCAATGTATCATTGTATTACTTATATATTTATTTCAGCTCTATCCCAATCAGGACCATTCAATTTCACGGCGTAAACACTTGTATCGCAAAATTGCTGCCTTTTTAGATCGATGTGCTAGACAATAAAACGAAACGCCACAATTCCCGGAATTTCTCTTTCTCATTTCCACCTAAAAACTCCGCATTTGTTCACGGGTCTTTGTTTCACTGTTTCTAAGTAGCACCCTGTACTCGACTTTCATTCGAATTGTTGTAGTGATACATTTGTCGCCACATTGTTGACACAATATTCGGTATGTCTTGACGCAGTGTTCACAACCTCTTCTAAGAATCACTTTGACATTAAGCTTGCATGTTATCATTTGTAGAAAGATGTGTAATGAATGTATGAAGGTGCTATAATACAATGCGCTAATAATCCCAGGCCGCACAAGCCCTAGAAAGAGAATTGAATATATACTTCTTTGATTGTTTTCTTTTTTTTTATTAGCGTGCATTGAGTATGCGCTCATTGTGAACACATGTGAAATTAGAGCTCTTGCAAATGCCATACCCCACTGATCACCTAGAGCTAACACGTTTAGAACTTGAAACTTGCTTATTCGAAGGCACATTTTACATCTACCCTATAATCGAAGGGAGCTTCTGTGTCAGCCACGGATGCCCTTCGTCAACTGACCATCGCGCCATATTTACATTGTATTTGATACCAGTCGGCTTGCCCGGCTGACGCCGTTCTCCACTCCTTCCCATGTTAAAATGGCCTCCCCGCCTGCACCTTTTTCCAACTTGGAGACTTTGATAGATGAGCACAGAAGTTATTCATTCCCGCCCAAACACAAACACCCTCCGCGCGCTCCGTCCGCCATGAACAAACCTCCTTAGGCTCTGAGTGTTTGAGTAACTCAATTCATTTCCGACTTACTCAACCTTGTTTTTGGATTCGCTTCAAATCTAAATTGACATTTTTTCGCTCATGCTTCGCCTCCTGTGAGCGGAGTTAAGTTTTGCCGCCCAACATAGATGCTCCCATCCTGCTGCCTGTATTTCTATCGTTCATGAGCGCTGGGGTCCAAGTATTAGGTCCAAGTTAAAATTCTTCGCACTAACCCCGCCTCATGTGGGTGGAGTCCGGTCTTGCGACCCACCATAAGTGCTTCTATCCTGTCGCCTGCATACCCATCAAATTTCAGCGCTCTAGGTCTACGGGAACAGGAACTATGAATTCCCACTCAAAACCTGTCTCATTGAGGGGACGAAGTACTGTTTCCTTCAAACAAATTGCAGATTTGTCGCAAACTCCGCCCACATTGACGCACGTTCCTCTCGGTTACAGGACTCGATTTGCCTACACTTTTCACAAATGCATATTTTTCCCGTTCTTCACTTCGTGGAACCGAAGCTATAATGTTTCGTGTACAACTTCGCCCACATTTGTGCATGCCCCGCCCATCAATGATGGTCTTCATTTCCTTTGCTGACCTCTATCCACTTTTTCCCGCATTCTAGAACGTTTCTGAACAGAGTTATGAAACTTCGATCTAGGCCCCGCCCACTTCGAGGATTCGGCCACATTTGTTCCATCCCTTTTAAACCACTTATTCCCGCAATCTATAACATTTCTGAACAGAGTTATAGAACTTTGATGTGAGCCCTGCCCACTTTGGGCCAACCCCGCCCACCTCAAGGATTCGGCCACACTTGTTCCACCACCTCTAACCACTTTTTCCCGCCTATTAAAACCTTTCCGAACGAAGTTACACTCATTTTTGAATATTAGCTTTCACCTCAACGCTTGCTCCGCCCATTGTGGGCGGGTCACCGCTGATGTAATTTATGTTGGAGACACCTTCGACAATGCTTCCCCAACATCAACCTTTCCACCTCTTTTGGCCTTCTACAAACCGAGTTATGTTTTCATGAAGCATTGCATTTTTAGGGAACGCCCCTCCCATCGGGGCTGGTTCTCCCTAGTTCGATCTTACTTGCCAATGCACACCTATAGCCACCTTTGAACCTCAGTTTTGAAGCCGTCTTGTGACTGAAATTGAAATCATGGCCCTCAGTACAGCTCATTTCGAGGTGCTACCTCTTTACACACCGGTAGCAGTCTGCACTTGCGTATTACTAGCAATTACCGTAACCCTACGCTTATTTTTGGTCAATTTCGAGGACTATTGTTGTGCTGATTTCATGTTTTCGGAGACTTGCTTTAATTGATCAGCTCAACTCTTCGATTCAACTTGACCGAACTGTTCTAAAGGGAGTATTGGTTGCCAATTTGCACGCATGTGGTCCTTGGAACTACTGGCGCTGCTCGGGGGCGCGCGATTCACGCGTGACGCCATTAGAGCTCTTCGCGCACGCAGCATCGTTTCAGTACCTTTCTGTTGAGATGGACCAAATAAATTGGCAGTAGTCCACTGCTTCACCATGAATAGAGCAAATCTTTTACTATGAAAAAAGGCCTCTTCGAGTTTGAGGATTCACCTCATATGTCAACAATCTACTTGTCAAATGTTCTAAATAAGAATAACTTCAAATTCTTTGATACTAGAAGATGCAGTCCTTCTGTAAACGTACATAGTTGGTTATTTCTTTACTTATTCTACTTATAAGTCCTTACTTCTTCCGTTATGATGGTAGGCATGATGTTTTAGCACGTTTTGTCCGATGACCTCATTATATTGACGCGTGAATCGCACCACACCCGGCGCTGCTCTGCTCTGCAGCCGTAAAGCTAGCGCTAAAGACGTGAACTAAGGTTAATGAAAAATGCACTCAGTCTGAATTGGCATTGGATATAGTATTCTGACTACATATCTATGATTTAAAGCAGTACGGAATAATGGTGAATGGGGACTATGTGTGTCAGCATATCAAAGAATTAATCCGTTTTACACCACGGACATGCAACTTTTCAACTAAACCGTAGGAGGGAAGGATCATCGGGCTGGGCAAGTTTTAAGCTTTTCGCTTGAAGTAATCATCTTACCCACTCCTGTGATCCTACCCTCCTAATGCTTAGTTAAAAACTGCATCCCTAGCTAAAAACACATAACAGCGCACAGATGAACGCTGCCCATCCTTGCTACGCTTTTAAGAATGCCCATTCCCCCAATTAATTTCTACCCGATGGCTACTCGGCAAAGTGCGTGAGTTGTAGGCCGAGGAATGTCGTGCCAATTTTTCTTGTTTAGCCAACGAGCAAATTTATAATAGTGTATATGTTATGGCATGAAAAAATTTGTAGGTGTAGTGGTATGTATTGGGATCGAATATGTTACGGAGTCCGGGAATCCGTGGTCGTCCGCGCTATAACAGTACACAATAATAGTAAACAATACTTTATAAGGCAGGCAACTTACGTCTTGCTTTGACGACTTAAGGAAGAGGAGTGCGGACCACTCATCTCGGGTTCGCTTGACCCCGCATCGTTTAGAGGGGTGGGTTCAGCTAAGGAGTCGTCTCAGACAGGGAGGCAACGATATACACATGGACAAACGACAAGTTTGCACCATCTTCCTTTTCCAATTCAAACTAAGCAGGAATGCAGCGGACACGGCTCGATATATCAACATAGCATTTGGTCCTGGAGCAACAAATGTACGTACTGCACAGCGGTGGTTTGAGAAATTTCGTAACGGCGACGAAAGTCTCGAAGACGGTGATGGGGATAGTTTGGTGGTCAACGGCTGGTTTAATTCATCATAGCTTTCTTGATCCGGACGAAACTATCACGGCT